TCTCATCGTGGCTGCAGCCCCGCCTGGTTGCCATCGCGGTTATTATTTTTATTATAATTGCGAGCGTCGCGACGATAAAAAAAGTTTCCAGGCCACGCAAACGCGTAAAATAAAGGAAGCTTTGCGCAAATTATTGTGAGCTCTGAATACACAGACACAGTGGTGGCAAAATATCTGCAAAAAAGTGAAGCATTCACAAAAATCTAATGGCTACAAACCTGGAAATATAGCTAAATAAGCGACTTTCAAGATGGGGTAGTAAAAAAATATACGAATCTGTGTTTTAATAACCGGGTAATAAATTCGAGAATGCGCATCTATATTTACAAACAGAAGCTTATAAAATGTTAGTATATTTCCATAGCTATTCAGGACAATATATATGGGTGCATTAAATGCAAATTATATTGTTGCTAGAATTGTTATTTGAGAACAAGAGCTCTTTTACAATATGAATCCTTTGCTTCTTTTTTTAAATCTGTTGAAAGTATCCTAAAATAAGTCCAAAATTAAAAAATGAATAAAAATTGTTGTTGAGCAGTTTTTGTGGTAAAAGAACAAATAGTTGAATAAAATTAAGGAGTATGAAAGAAACATACAAATATTACTAAATCATATTCTGTTAATTAAGAATCATAAATAGCACTCCAAGTGTAAAAAATACAAGATTATAACAAAAGTAATAGTTAGCTCCACTGTAAAATATACGGATTTAATCTAGGACTACGTCTGAATGCAATTATCGTTAAAAATGATGTAAGTGCATATTTTCAGTCCATCGTTGAACGCAATAAATTCAGCGAATATTAAACTGGCGAAATCGTTTGTTTGTTTGTTTGCGAAGAAAAATGAAGTGGAAGCCCATCGATAAATGTTCCGCCAACTTTATATGACAAGCTAATTAAACTTTCCTTAAAGATTCTTCTACTTTTTCACCTTCCACCGCTGGCACTCCAAAATGAAGAGAAATAAAAGAAAGCCCAGAAAGTTATGATTGGTATTATACGTTCCGATTTCCAATTTGAAGTAAAAACTGCCTCAAATCAAAGTGGCAATAAATCTAATCATTTAGGTAAATCTAAAATTTCAGGAGTTATAGTTTTCAATAATAAATGATTTAAATTAAATAATTTATTTGTTCAAAAAACATTATAGTCAAAATTTAGTAAGATTTAAATGCAAAATCATATAAATAATATAATGTGATGATAGAATTGCAAGATTAATCGGTATTGATTATATCAAAAATTAATCAAACTAATTTTCACTGCGTGAAGCGATATTATCCACTTTGAACATTATAAATCAAAGCACTAGATATAATAGTAAAACTCCACTACAACACAGTGAGTACTTCTGAAATAATCACACTAAGTAGTGCATAATTTGAAAATAATAGATATACTAATATTATGTTAATGGGTTATTATGCATACGACGTATTTATTCTCTAAAAAGTGCAATTACGCGTATATTGTACAATTTAGAAATGTTAATTAAGAAAATTCCAACAAACTTTTTATCGTATCCGCTTAAAATTTTAACCCTAATGTAAAACGGATGCTACTAATAATTCGACAGCGTCCCACCCGCTGACTTGGAGCTTTCGTTCTTCGTTTTGCTTGCCTCCTTCCGAAAGAAATAGCGAAGAAAGTATACTACATTACGCCGCACGAGTTAATTAGTTCGATAGAAATTGCGTCACAATTTTAAAACATAAACTTCTTTCTTGTTTGTTCGCCTTTTACTTGAAATTACTTTGTGTTCTTACACAAGATGCAATTATGTGCCCGTTACTCAACTCTTTTTGTTATGTTTATTAAGGTGTTACTTTATTTTCAACTACAAAGCAAGATAATAAGTAATTAAGTTATATTTAATTAATTATTGATTCATTACTCGAAGAAATTTTTGTTTTTGAGTTGCAGGCTTTTAAACTCTTTTCTTTGTGTAAAAGTAGCGGATAGTAGATTTGCAACGCTAGGCCAGCAAAAGTTTAAGAATGGGTGGTGCTTAATTACAATTTGCTCCCGATACTGGCGGGTACAGCGGGTTTTCTTTATCTTGTTCCGTCCGGCGACGTTTGCAATCCTTTCAACTTTCCACGGCTTTTCTGTTTCTTTTTTCTGTTGCCATTTTGTGTCCCACTTGCTCCCTATCTTTTGCCCGCCGTAAGTCTTTGTTTTATTCCAAAGTTTCCGACCTTAGAAGACTTAATAAACAGCAAAATAATTAATCATTTTTGGATGAAACGCAGAAAGAATGCCGAAATACGAAAATTAATTTCAGATGCAATTTATGTACCAAACAGCAATATTTATCAAAATAAATAAAACGTATAATGAGTGAAAAAGTCATCATTGAAATTTAATTAAACGCTTTATTAATTTACAGTGATAAATTGATGCAATTTATAAGTTTCGGTGTAGTTTAAATGTGATTGCGTTTCGCAACAAAGCGCAATGCGTTGTGACATATTTTGATAGCGTCGTTGTTCGTCGTTTGCAGATTTTCTACGTTTGACATGTTGATCCAATTTGGTTTAGTCACCGCTAACGACGTCATTCCAGATAACCGCTGATTTAAGACCGCCTCGAATGCCTTTCATTGGAACGACATCTTGTTTTCTCTTCCTTCTATTCGTGTCTATTTGCCCTCATTTCCACGTTGCCAACGTTTGAAACAATGTCCTCTTACATTTTATGTGATGCAGAATTTATGTAGCAAAATAAAAACAGATATTGTTAGTACATTAAATAAATATGTCATCGTGCAACGCTATTTCTTTGGTTTTTGGTCAAAAGATAACAAATACATTAAAAATTCTTAGAAATAATATTTGAGAAACAAGAAAATTTAAAGAAAATATAAAGCCTATGATGACTTTCAAAATCCACGCTGGGTTTCTCAATCCTTTTTCAGCAACACTCCAATATGGGCATCCAATCGCCCACAGTTCGTTGAATACTAAAGACCCGGCTGACTTTATTGCCACTTTTACTTTTCGTCAAGACTTTTTACTCCCAGCAGCAGAGAGAGGAGAAAAACACGCAGCTGAAGAAAGCAATGGATCAGAGAATGGCAAACATTTGAAAGTTGACAAAGCGAACACAAAAGTTTACAAGTGTAATCAGAAAACCAATGACATGTAAAATAGATACAACAACAAAAACGGCCCAAAACGTCTGCGAGAAAAAAACTAGCGAAGGATTCCAAATAAATAGATTTTAGATAAAACTTTTTCTAAGTTCAGCGTTTTTTATTCACGGACTTGATTAGAGTTTTTTTTTTCTTCATAAATAGAAGAATATTTACGAGTAAAGTTTATTTATTTATTTATAATATATAGTATTGTTTTAATTAAATATTGAGTGAATTTACTCCCAAGACAAAAGAAGCTTAACTTGAAAATTTTTTTTAATTTATTTATTGAAGCTTTTGATTGTTTGCCTTAAGATTTAATCAAATTGGCTCCTTTGACTGCTTAGAAGTTACTTACTTTAGCAATCGGCTAAATTTATAAACACAATTGATCAATAATAAATATACATTCTGGTAATTAACAAACAGAACAAAATTTTCTTCCCTTACAAACAAAAATATACAAACTTTAAACTCACCGAACAAACTGTATGTTTGATTTATTTAGCGAGGCAAAGAGGAGGAAAACATCAGGTGTGCCGTTGGCGGAATATAAAATCGAGAGCGTTTTACGCTTTCAAGGAGTTGGTTTGGCTGGTAAACATGCTGTTTAGCATCTTTAGGAGTCTTCCAGGTTTCCTTTTGCTCTCTTGCCCATTATACTTGAGCATATCTTATTACTTGCACCTATTCGCCATGATTTCTGCACGAATGTTTTTCGCCACGGCCACGCTAAGTAGAAGAGGCGTACGTCGAGTGTATAAATGCAACATTATCGCAACGCCACAGCGCATCGCCACGCACCGAAGGGATGAAAATGAAGGAACAAGCACATCGCGCGTTGTGGTTGTGGCTGAACGAGGACGATATGCAAATCTACTATCGTCACGATGAAAGAGGGTTCTGGGCTTTATCACGCCGGCGTGGGGCGTCTTGTAAAGGATGCGAAAACGCGCTACGCAACTTAATAGTAATCTAAGGACTGAAGGAACCGACGCTCTGCTGTAAAACCCTGGAAAAAATCACATCTTTTAAAGGATAAGCATGTTTAAATGTGCTAAGTTTATTTAAAACTTGCACACAAATGATAATGAACAGTTTATATCAAAAAAGTTAATGTGTAGCGGAAAATTGTACAACAAAGAAAAAAATCAAAAAAAGTTAGAAATTAAGTCTATTCCATTTTAATTTCCGGTATGTCTAAAGTTTGACGATTTAAAGGAATAAACAGACACAGACATCAATATAATAGTAACAATTTTCTATTAGATTTTGTAATGACCTGCCAATCAATATTATATTGTGAATGGCACCTCTTTGTGTTTGATTAGATTTAATTTCAGTTCCAAAAATGTTTTTAAGTCAGTAATTTTGATATTTTATAGGAGAGTATTTGACTTTTACAAAAGTACCTAGTTTTTCAGTACGTAGCATTCCATAGAACCTGAAAATTCGCCAGGAAGAAGACGTGATGTCTGCGGTTTGATCTTAATAAAGTTGTCAGCGCTTCCATGATGCGGATGGCAATCGGACGACGACATGATGAGATGATGGGATGACTTGCATTAGATAGACGAGGGTTTCGTCAGCGTCGGCGGGCGGTGCGCAACTGGTCTGCTTTGAAATTCCTGCGGGCGCTGTTGGAAGCGCATCTTAAGATGTGAGTGTTGATGTTGTCATCAGGCTCACTTGAAGTTGGCATTTACTGTGGCAGCTAGGACATTCTTGAACATTGCTACAAACATGTCGGAGAGAAGAAAAGTTAGATAAAGTTTTAAACGTAAACTTTAAGTTATTTTTGTGGGGACCATGTGGATTATTTGTATAATTTAGCGTTTGGCAAGGTTTTTTAAGATAATTTTAGATACAGGCGCGATTGTTTGATAATAAACATCCGCTCGGTTTGAACAGTGTTGGGTCAGATAACATGTAGCCTTGGCGAGACGAGTTTGAAGTTTACACTGACTCAGTAAGTCGCAGATTATTAGCGCGGTTGGAGCAGTAATTATATAAAATTAAGTCTGGTGTAAAATATAATATAAAAGTGAATAAAGTATTAATTTACACTAATTAAATGAACTGTTTTATTTAAATTGGATTTGAATTCGATAGTGAATTCTTAACAAAAGGATTGAAGTTGGCAAGAAAAACCACGCCCAGTAAAATGAATTCATCTCTATGAAACTAAAGAGTGAGGTATTTGAGTACGATAAATTTTCAAATTTGTTTCTGATTTTTTTATGTTTCGTAATCTCACGTGGATTTAGTACTTTTTGTATAGACATGTGTAATTTTTTTAGATTACTTTATAACTGTTAATAAATTAATCAAGTTAGTTTCAATCAGGATACGAACACAAACTTGATATTAAAAGTTAAAATATGGAAAAAAAGCAACAAAGAAAAAAGAAAAAGAAAGGACCTCCGCCTCCTCCACCACCAATATATATTCCTAATTACAAACCAACACTAAGTTTGACCGATGAGGTAATCAACTATGTGTAACTGCTGCAATTCTCTCTTATCTCCAGGAGTAACGTTTTTTTTTGGTTTTAATATTTTTAGGGGTTTATTGCTAGTAGTTCCACTGATATTAAAACTGTGGAGAAAATTCAAAACACGTATACATGTACAATTCTGCAAGTAGCAGATGCTATGAGGCAAAACGATTTATTGAAACTTCTAGAGAAAGTAGAAGTATTGGATAATGAAACCAAAGATTATGTAATAAGTGAAGCTCTAAATTATATGCATATGCATGGCAGAACCTTATCAAAGCAAATGCACAATAAAATTCGTTGTATACTGATGCAATCGCGATTTTATAGGATTTATGATCCTAAAAAAGATAGCAACACTTATAATGACAATATACAACAACTGGAATTTATTCATTCTTGTTTTGAAGGATTACTAAAAATGAACTCTCCTAGTTTTATGGACAATTATATCAAACAAATAATATTTTATGGTACTGAATTGCAGTTTGGTAAAGATTGGGCAAAGGATTTACCATGGAACATGTTTGCATTCTATATTCAACAATATGCGGGATTTGTCCGAACTTCAAACCATAAGCATCTATATCAAGTCGGTATTATCACAGAAAACAAATTTCAAACCATGGTTGAAAACTTTAAAAAGATATTTGAAATGACTTTGCCAAACAATAGTATAGTGTACGAGCATTTTCAAAAGGAGAATACAAAGATGGCGGAAGAGATGAAGACATATTATTACGAATTGAAAGATTTGCATTCCCTCGAGAAACTATATAAAACAGTTGTGTGTTCTGATACAACACATTATTATGGATATTTAAGAAAATTACAAGCGTGTGGAGAATACCTTAAAAGCACTGATCAAACTCCGAATATATCAGGGGAATTGAAGGAATTGTTGACGAAGTGTCTCCCCATGAAAGATATGAAAACATTTAGGGATAAAGTATGCCATTTAAAATCTATTCCAGTTGAAATTCAAGATGCAGAAAAATTGAACGATTTAAGCAATTTGATTGCAAAAATTGCTAAACAAATTAAACTCACTTATAAATTTATACAATTGGAAACTGCAGTAAAAATAAAAAAGTTAATATTACAATCACCTGAATCCATCCCAATGCCACACGCAATAAAACATGAGCTCTCTTCATTCCGATCAGCTTTTGGTACATTACACGAATCTCCCGATCGAAACATACAACTGCGCAAAGACAATGTGAATCGGTTGTTTGCATTGATGGAATTTCATTACAACGTAGAAGGTGGATACAATTACAATTTACTAAAAGTGTCAGATGAGCAAATTGAAGCAGAAAAGCAAAAACTTTTGTCAGAATGGCCAATTGATCAATCAGACGACAAAACACTACCGAATTTAATTGAGACTGTTTCAAATCCTCCATTATTCAGTGATGATGCAGACGAACATTACCGAGCATGTTTAGAAATTCTAAAAACTGAAGTTGAAAGGAAAAACGATTTAGGTGTTGAATTGCTCTTGATGCTGATTTTAAAAATTGCTGATGAATTGCGGAATTTTAATCTTAATCGAAAGTGGTATACAGAGTTATGTGCTACGCTTACTGTTAGATCGTTACGAAATGATTTGGCTCACGGTGATCTTTATGTGGATCTCCTAGAAATCGATAGAAAATCGACGATTTACGATATTGCAAATATTTTAATTGGAGAACTTGAAAATGAAACTGCCAGGAAACAAAAAGAATGTGGTAAAGTAACACAAACCATACCAATGCCAGAATTACGAACAAATACTAATTCAGAACTGGCGCTTATAAAAATAAAAGAAGATCTTGGATATCAAATCCAAAAAGGGTGTATTACAGAAGTACAAAGGCTAGTGAACAAAATGAAGACGGAAGATATTGAGTGGCGCAATTTATTAGAAACTACTGCTTTAAATCTGGCCGCGGGCAATGACCTAGACAATGTGGAACTATTTGAGCTGGTATTTGATGAAATTGGTGATCACCAAAAATGGTTTCGAGATGATCTCGGTGATACAATGTTGCATGTAGCTGCTGAAAAAGGCAATGTGCGAATTTTATCAAATATTTTAAAAACGAAGGCTTCATTCTACACAAAACATGTTCATGTCATTAACTACAATGGTGATACACCATTTCACAAAGCAGCGATTGCAAATCAGCCACGTACTTTTGAAATATTGTGTAATAGTTGGTTCAGTAAACATATCCAACTTTTTAACGAAAATGCGCAGGGTGCAATACACTGTGCAATTGTATTTGATCATATTGACGTTATTGAAGTGTTTGTGAAATGGAATTATCACCAACCACTTGATAGTGTTCGTGCAGTAAGAAACCAAACTTGTCTTCACCTTGCATGTGACTACAATCACAAAAATCTGATTCGTTATTTCATAGAACGTGAATCAGACGCAAATACGATTGACAAGGACATTGATACACCATTATTATTAGGAAAACAGTTTTCGAATGCACCCGACGTGCTAATGATTGAAAAATATATGAATCCTATAATGGAGGATAATAAAATGCATTCGGCTGTTAAATGTAATGCACCATCTAAGTTTGAAGAGATCTATAGTATTGCACCTTTTTTAATATGGACCACAGATATCGAAGGCAAAACACCCGTTGACAATGCCATTTTAGGAAATAATAGAGAAATGCTTGAGTTAATATTTCATCATGTTTTACTAGATTATTCAGAGAAACCATATATATACAAAAAAGTGATTTCTATCATGTGTGACAGTGAATTAAAATGTCTTGATGGACCATGCGTAAGGCTAATATTAAATTTTGTTTTAAATACTCTTACGGAGAAATTTAATGACAAATTGGCGTGCTTTTGGGGATTGTAAGTAGAAATAAACGTAGAAGATTTACAATAATTGCATTTAATGATAATTTTTTATTAGCACTTTATTGGGTCAGATGGTGAAAGTTTTCGAAGATATCTACATACTTAAAACAACCATTATTAGAATAATGTTGGAGAAAATCAGTTTATTTGAAAACGATGACCGAATAATTAAATGCGTTCATGATGTGTTTACCTGGTGCATGTTTTTAAGTGACGAGGTATTTAAAAAAAATTATTTGCATTTTTAAAAGCGACTATTTAAAATTTTGGTAATTGCAGGCATATATTGGCTTAAGTAATATTTTGGTTAATTATTTATCCAAGGATAATTTTATCAACCATTACAATACATTAGATTTAATCTCTTGGTTAGTAAAAATCGGAACATATGAACAAAAATCACATTCGAAACTATAGGTTTAATTCAAGTAGTTAATTTTTGAGTTATTCTTTTAATTATATAGTCTTTTTATTGTAGGTATTATATAATATCAAAAATGCCGATTTTTGCACGAAAAAAGAGTATTGAAATATTATTACTTGTTAACGTGCGATCATGGAAAATATACACAACGCTATTTTTTTGGGAAAACAATGGTTTGTCCTTTTGCATCAGAGGAATTTTAAAAGTGGTGTTGGCAATCGGTATACATCGGTGACGACAAAAACTCTTATGTCTCACTGTCGTCTGAACATTTACCTGAACTATTTGATGCTGTAACTAAAACCACCGTATTATAAGCCTGTTAAACGATAGGAAGTGATGAACTGGTTTGGGTAACATGTAGCTTACTGTAGTACAAATTTGGTCACTTAAGAAGAACGTATTTAATAGTGATCAATTTAAAGATTTTAGTTTGGCAAAAAATGGAGCGCCTAAAAGAATTTTGCACTGTTCAATTTTGGACATGTTTGACGGCTTCTTGTTCTTTTTTTGAATGAAGATTCATTTGAATGTCAGTACTGGGCAGCGTGGACTATTAAAATTATACACGGCGTAACCCTGAAACAATGAGTTCCATTCGTGAATGAGAAACTTGCCACAAAATCGGAAAGGCGGAAATCTGAAATTAGCGATAGCTAACTTGCAGTTGCAATGGAGGACGCTGTTATAAGTAGCCGAGATATACATTAATAAGTGCAATTTTCATATATTAATATAAATAAATTCAAATGATTTATCCATTCAATGGTTACGTAAACTTTAACTTATTTTGTACAGGGACCATATGGATTTTTTGTATAATTTAGCGTTTGACAAGGTTTTCAAGATAATTTTAGAAACAGGCGCGATTGTTTGATAATAAACATCCGCTCGGTTTGAACAGTGTTCGGTCAGATAACATGTAGCCTTGGCGAGACGAGTTTGAAGTTTACACTGACTCAGTAAGTCGCAGATTATTAGCGCGGTTGGAGCAGTAATTATATAAAATTAATACTGGTGTAAAATATAATATAAAAGTGAATATACTATTAATTTACCCTAATTAAATGAACTGTTTTATTGAATTAATTGAATTATTTTATTTAAACTGGATTTGTATATGATGCTAAATTCACAATGAAAGGAGTGAAAGGAGCAAATCGAAGCGAACCGCGCCCATTAGAGATGAATTCACAAATTCTCGAAATAAATAAAGAGGTATTTGCGTATTTGAGTTAAATCTTTTTGCTTCTTGTTATTTTGTATGTTTCTTAGCCTCGTTTCACATGAAAGTGGAATTCTCTTTTACTTTTTTAGCATTATAAAAAGGAATCATATAAATGTACTTATTTTTAGGGTTATATGCAGTTATATGCAGGATGCACTGACTCTACAAGGATCGAGAAGCTTCCGAATTTATATCAAGATATAATTCTTGAAGTTGTAAATGCCTTGACAGAAAACAATTGTTTGAGACTTGATCAAGCAATCCAACATTTAAACAACAATACTAAAGATATAGTAATATGTGAAGCATATTGTCATATTTGCAGTCAAGGTAACACAATATCCGCAAAAATGCGCAACCACATACATTCGATACTCGTGCCTTTACGTTTTTATAACGTCACTGGGGCAGAAGTTGCAGCTAACACTGATAGAAAGCTGACAATTGAATATCTAAATACATTATTACAGGAACTACAAAAAGAGGATTCAAGTGATTTGAAAAATTATCTTGTTAATAACATTTTGTTTTTTGCTAATAGCTTTAAATTTGACAGTAAAGAACATAAAATAGAATTGCCGTGGAATGCGTTCCTATTCTACATTCATCAATATAATGATTATTATATGAATGCACATAATGAAAATCATGTATATCAAGTAACGGTTATCAAAAAAACACAATTTATCGATTATGTTAAATGCTTTAATAAGGGCCTAGAAATGTTCCTAAAAAATTATAACGATATCGAAAAATTTAAAAAGTATGCAGCGCAGATAAAAGAGCCTATTGATAAAACGTATTGGGAATTAAGAGATTTGCATACTTTACAAAGATTACATGATTTATTTGAACCCCGTCATGAAGCTAATTATTATGGACTTTTAAGAATACTGCAAATGTGTGGTGAATGTGTTAAAGGAAGCGAGCAAACGCCAAATATGTCAGAAAATCTCTTAAAATTAATGGATAATATCTTGCCATTGAAATCTATCAGGTCAATTAGAGATATGGCGTGTCATTTAACGACGATTCCAGGCGATAAAGAAGATTATTCAAAATTGAGCAGATTAATTAATAATATATTTATAAAAATCGGAGATGTACTCGTATTTAAAAGATTTGAACAAGCTTTCAAAATAAAAGAGTCAATATTAAGCACACCAGATTTAATATCGATGCCACACACGCTAAATTTTGAATTTTCCTCATTTGAACCAGCCATAGGAACATTAGATGAATCTTCCGTCAGAAACAATCAACTTCGTGAAAATCAAGTCAATCGCCTATTAGCAAGGTTTGAATTCAACAACAAATTGCGAAAGGAATACAATTATAACTTATTAGAAATGTCATCAGCAAATTGGAAAGAAGCTGAAGAAAAACTAGTATCTGAGTGCAAAGTAAGTGATGCGGACAAAGACATTTTATCCGATTTACTTAAAGAGTTTAAACGGCTTAATAAGGAACAGGGTACACCAAAAGAAAAAGCGAAGCGGAAGGAGGCGAATGGAAAAAAATTTGAAGAAGATCTTGAAATAAATTATGAAAAATCTTTAAAAATTTTAAAAATTGAGGTGGAAAAGAAAAGCGATTTAGGTGTTGAATTTGTTTTGATTATTATTTTAAAAATCTTGGATGAAGATTTGAAGAGATTAAATCAGAATAGAAATTGGTTTTTAAACAAATATCCCACTCTTACTGGAAGGCAACTCCGAAACCATTTAGCTCACGGTGATCCTCTCGCAGATATACTACAACTTGATAGAAGAACTGTCGTCTATGATACTGCAAATATGCTTATTGAGGAGATTGACGATAAAAATAAAAGAATCCAAAGGAAATGTGAAAAAATCATGCCACCCATGAGTCTATTAGAGTTAATTGCGAGACATAATTCACCATTAACCATTCTAAAATTAAAAAATAAAATAAATGATCACATTCAAAGCGGGTGTATCGAAGAGCTAAAAAAACTATTGACAAAAGCCAAAATGGAACAATATGAATGGAGCGACGATATCACGGTTTTAAATTTGGCAGCGGGCAATTCACTTGATAACGTCGAAGTATTTGATTTAGTATTTGTTGAAGTAAATGATAAGTTTTCTTCTCGCCAGTTTAGAGATGAATTTGGAAATAACATGCTGCATGCGGCTGCTGAGAAAGGTAATGTGCAAATTGTTTCACACATCTTAAAATCCAAAAAGTTATGTCGTAAACTTTACGCTAATATCGCTAACAGTAATGGTGACACACCATTTCACGCAGCCGCAATTGCTAAACAACTTGGTACTTTTAAAGTATTGTGTAACAGTTGGTTTAGTAAGCATCTTTATTATTGCAACCATAGTGGTCATACAGCTATACATAGTGCAATTGTATATGATTGTATTGATATCGTTGACATGTTTCTGCAGTGGAATTATGACAAATCAATCGACGAGATCCTAGGAGAAAACAACCACACTTACCTTCATCTGGCAAGCGCTCACAATAAAAGGGAGCTAGTTCGTTATCTTGTTGAATATGGCTCAGATGGGAATGCAAGAGACAAAAAATTGCAAACGCCATTATCACTCTGTTTGCAATTTTCGAATTCGCCATTATCGACAATGTTGGGACAATATATGAATTCTGTTAGCGAGGATAATCCTATGCATGATGTAATCACTTCGAAATTAGGTACTTTAGAGGAGGCATATAACATTGCACCATATTTCCTTTGGACAACAGCTAATGACGAACGCACACCAATTTCACTTGCTATTACGGATAATAATTTAGAATTCATGGAAGAAATGTTTCACCAGGTGTTATTAGATTATTCCGAAAAACCTTACATATTCAAAGCGGTCATTGCTAACATGTGTGACAGGAATTGGAAATATCTTGAATCATATGTAAGATCACTCTTGAATCTAATTCTGAATAATGTAATGGACAAGGATAATGATAAACTCATGTGTTTTTGGGGATTGTAAGTATTTAGAGACTTCTATAACTAAAAAAGTATCAATAATGATCTTTCAGCATTCTGTTGGGGGAAGTTTTAAATTCAATTGACGATTTCTACATTCCCATAGAAACAATCATTAGAATAATGTTGGAAAAAATCAATTTATTTGGATGCGATGACAGAATTATTGCATGTTTTTATTCCGTATTTGCTTGGTGTGAAACTCTAAATGAATCGGTAGGTGATTCCAAATACTTTTCCAGTACCTATATGTTTTCATTTTGTGTTTTGCAGGAATTTTTAGAATTGAGTCACATGCTTTGTAATAATCTGTCGGTGTATTGTTACATCAATCATTTCAATACATTAGATTTATTATGTTTGCTAACAAGAAATGCAACAGATCAACAACGAACTGAATTGGGATCTATGGATCTAATTAGAGTAAGAATGTACTTTGTTAAATATCTGTTTTAAATGTTTGTTTACCTTTGCAGGTATTAGTTAATATTGAAAATGCAGATAAAAAGGAGAAGGAACTAATTATAGAAATAATGTACTATTTTACATTAGATCATGAGCAGAATAAGCTCCAATTTTTAGAAGACGATGGTTTAAGGTTTGCCATTGAAGATTTTGATAACGCTATTAGCGACTGGCATAAAACAAAAGTGGCTGAACTATTATGTACTACAGTAATGTCTGTGCATTTTTCCAAGGAAATAAATAGCATTTTGTTTAATGCGATAACTTTTGCTGACATTGAAAACATGTTTCGTAACACAAATCAAGAATTGAAGTGGGTAACATGTGGAATTCTTCTAAAGATTTACTCATTTAAGAAAAATTTGTTCAAAAATGAACGAATACGAAGCATGTTTATGGATAATATGAAGAAGAAATATTTCATGGATTTTTGTACAATTCCGGTTTTAGATAGTTCTGATTGGTTGCTTAATCTCTTGTTAGATGATTCATTTGAATGTCAGTATTGGGCTGCTTGGACTATTAGGAATTACACACGACGTGACACTACAAAAATGTATAAACTAGTTACTGAAGCTTTGCCGAATATTTCCAAGCGTAATTCTGAAATCGACGAGTTGCTAGCAGTTGCCATAGCTGATGTTTACTTTACTTAGCTTAATATGTATTAGTAATTAGTATATTTAAAATTGTATTTATTTAACACAAATAAAGAAAATTAACTTATTGAGTTTCTAGAAACTGGTTAAAAAAAAGGTTACTCAAAGTTGCAATATAGTGTCACCGAATATAAGATTGAAATGTGCAAACCGCGCCCACGAAGAAGTGCAACTTCACTGCCGAGCGCTTTCTGACCCAATTTTTAGAAGACGATGGTTTAAAGGTTTGCCGTTGAAGATTTTGATAACGCTATTAGCGAGCTAAGCATAAAACAAAGTGGCTGAACTGTATATTACTACAGTAATGTCTGTGCATGTTTCCAAGGAATTAAATAGCATTTTGTCTAATGCGATAACTTTTGCTGACATTAAAAACATGTTTAATAACACAAATCAAAAATTGAAGTGGGTAACATGTGGAATTCTTCTAAAGATTTACTCATTTAAGAAAAATTTGTTCAAAAATAAACGAATGCGAAGCATGTTTATGGGTACAATGAAGAAAAATCTCGAGGATTTTTGTACAATTCCAGTTTTAGATAGTTCTGATTGGTTGCTTAATCTCTTGTTAGATGATTCATTTGAATGTCAGTATTGGGCTGCTTGGACTATTAGGAATTACACACGACGCGACACTACAAAAATGTATAAACTAGTTACTGAAACTTTGCCGAATAATACCAAGCGTAATTCTGAAATGGACGAGTTGTTAGCAGTTGCCATAGCTGATGTTTACTTTACTTAGCTTAATATGTATTAGTAATTAGTATATTTAAAATTGTATTTATTTAACACAAATACAGAAAATTAACTTATTGAGTTTCTAGAAACTGGTTAAAAAAAAGTTACTCAAAGTTGCAATATAGTGTCACCGAATATAAGATTGAAATGTGCAAACCGCGCCCACGAAGAAGTGCAACTTCACTGCCGAGCGCTTTCTGACGAATGCTCTCATATATGCGGAATATGATGGGGTGCATAAAATATTCATGATACGTTGCCATTCCTATTGCTATCGTTGTGGCTGACTTTGCATTTTTGTATTCCTGCTTTGTGCTTATGGCAGGCGCCAGGACGAAGGAGCAATAGCTTGAGGACTGCTTCTGCAAAACGGGAAATGTGTGAGCGGAGGGTCTGCACGAAAGAATCTACATATAAATACATATAAATATAAAATTCGGTTGCTTAAACCAGAAAGAATGAGATACGTCGCTAACATATCAGCAAATTCCATTACTAATCGCTTAATACTTTAGGACGCTGTGAATATTGATATACATTTTGAGGTTATGGTGAATTTTAGAGGCTTTATTTTAAGGTTATGATAACAAGAGTGGTACTCTATTGCTACCAGTGTATAGGAATCATGTAATTGAAATAGTTTATAAATTTAAGTGGTTACGAATTTGGATTCGAGCGTAAAATTAATTCCAGAGCAAAATATGGAATTGCATCACACAACCAATCAAATATATTATATATAAAACTGATATGTATTGAAATATGAAATATTTTAATTGAACTTGACAGCAGTAATGGCGTATAATATGAAAATGGTTTCAAAATGATTTCTAAACACTGTAGTGTTTTAGAGTGACTTTTCAAATCGTTTCAGTTATAGTAATAAACGTTAATAGTTATTATTCATACATAGAAGCTTAATAAATTTTAATCAAAGAATGTTGATGTATGCACTGAAGCAGAATTTGTTTGAAAGCTGTATAGCATAGGCACCAACACTGAGCCCTTCCTCAATATCACATTACTTAATATTTGTGGATGTGTGTACATTACATCACTTGCTCTTGCAAAAAGGGTCTTGATCGTATACAAAGCGAGCAGCGAGCGGCAAGCAAAGTGCGCGAAGTGAGCGTGTGGCCGCCGTCGACATATAATCGATTATATTGATAGTATTTGGGGTTGCTTTAAGGGCAAAGGCAGATGCGATGAAGAGCCGGCGAGTTTTCGGTCGGCCGACAAGCTTTGTTGTGGTACGCCGCCAATGTGTGCCTCTGTTCTTAATTGACTAGTTGTTCAGCCGATATTCAATATAAGCTGGCGCATAAAGTGTGTGTTTACGCAATCCCGACCAACAAATTAATTTGATACCCTTGCCATTGTAATTTATTGCTGTATATTTCAAAAAATTGCAAATTGTAAAAAATTGATCGATACTGAGCGTAATTCTAATGCTAATGAGAATTGTTTGTTTTGTTGCAGGTAAATTTGAAAAATTCCACCGCCCAGACACATTTATCGCCCCGCTGGGTGCGATTCGACGGTATCAAAGGTTAATCAACGTTTAATCCACGCGTCGCCTGCTAAAAAGTAGGTGCGTGTTGAAACCCTTTCGTGTGACCCGTAACAAACACAAATATGTAGGAGACTATTAATGTATCATAAATCGTATTAATGTTGAGGGTATTAAAGGGCAAGCCATAGGAAAATATGCCAAAGAAAAAGTTGTAACTTAAGGTCAATCATTCCAGAATTGATTTTATATTCAAGAAATACAAATCTAACTCTTTTTTTTTGTTTTTTTTTTTAACAAAAACATGTAATTGATACGTTTCAGAGTATTGTTTATATCATTATTACTATGCCCACCATAGTATATATTTCCATGTGTTTGATTTTCATAACATTACGCGCCTCTTGTTCTTCGGCTGCTCGTTTCGCGCACGAATTGTTTTGTCTACTTTTTCAGCGCTCCATTCGGGCGTACGCAGTTATTACTGGTTCGCTACGTTTCTACTGATATGAGTTTTGTTTTATGAACGCGCGTTCAGCGGGAGACTTTTATTTTGCTGCGGCGCGAGGTGCACGATATGCGATGGAATGAAACAAGAAGCCTTCATTAATATTTGACGCGCCGGGTGATGACGCGCGCTCCGTAATGACGCTTTCCATTTTCGGCGCGTTCCAGCTGCTGCCAAATACACTCTTTTATATTTTTTCTCTGCGTGCGTACCAGGATTGACGAAATTTACATGACTATGCATGGTTATCTGTCTGCGTGTGCGTACGCACGTATGTTTCTGGCAGTAATTACAAAATTCAATGGTCATTAGACGTCATAAATCAAAATTTGTTGTGTATTAATGTATTAAAAATTGAGACCATGGAATGGAAAAATAATGGATGCATGAAGAGATAAGCTATCTTTAATCAACCCTAGGTATATGCCAGTTTTTGTAATTATTGTATATTATCTTCATAAATAATGATTTATATTAAGAAAATTGTACCTGTCACGAGCGCCATCTGCTATTAGTAACTGGTACTGAGGTATATAACCTCAAAAAATGACAAATGACAGAGATAATCGTAATACATTTCGTTATATCACAAGAATTGAAATTAAATTAGTATAGCTTGATGTAATCCACAGATATTGACTTCAATATTGAATTCACGTCCGTGGAATATTTTTAATCAGATATGTGAGTAGATATATGACAAAGCCTTTCAAATTACACACAATTTTCAATTTTTCCAGGCATTACCATAAAATCTCCTCGCTTCTTTTCTGTGGCGAGTCGAGCTAGACATGCGTGGTGGCTGGTAAGCTTTTCATCCAGCTCGGTGAAAGCGCTGCCGGTGCACACGCATCACGCACACACTTACACCATACAACACACCCGCGAAGATCCGTCCGGATCTAATATAATAATTCACCGCGTTTAAAGTGGTTGCCGGAGTTGCCGGCGCGCCAACCGACTTGGATGCGGTGTTACTAATACAAGAGTCTCACCCGTTCCACGTTTCTGCGCTTCTTTAACCGACTGTGTGCATGTTCATGCAGACGAGCAGGGAAGTAACGCCGACATACATCGTAGTTACTGTCTTCCGTACGCAAAGCGCGTTCATAACATAATAATATAATAATATTGCATGCGGGTACGATGAGAGGGTGCTACGGCTCATCCCAGGCCCTTTCCGTTTGGCAAAGCGCGTTCGCCGGCGTTTCCTTTGCCACCACGTCGGCTTTCCAACGCTTCGCTTCTATCACAGGAGAGTTTTGCGAATCAACATCATAATATTGAGCGCATTAATTAAGAAATGTTCATTTTGTTACGGAGAGCTTAATGGAATGTTTTATTTTTGAGATTTTGAATACGCAAAAACTTGTGAGGCAATTATAAAAGCAGGTCATATACCGAAATATAAGGTCTAGCCGCTTTTGATGGTCATTACCCACATTGGTCAGCGGCAGCGAATGTCTCCCACAGTGCGGCCTTTCGCCCGCTGGCCGACGTTTAGCCGAGGCAATTAAAAGCTGTTTTTCGCCGCTGATTTACCAAAGTGGAAAACGCCCGACTGGATCTGGGCAGACCGTTAGGCACGGTTCGTTAAATTTCAAGCGCGTTTGGCGATTTCTACAGCGGTGCCGATAGCAGATTTACTCTCCGAGAAATTCCCGACAAGAATATGTCCTTTGGAAGCGTCACAGAATCTAAGAAGGTAGAAAGAGCTCGGAAATGTTCTATAAATATGTGGCGGTGGACGCAATGGAAACGATGGAAATGGCGTTTATTTCTTTAAGCCTTTCTTGATGTGGCTGCGTCGACCACCAGCAGAAAATCCACGGCGTTTGATCGAGGACGTGTCAGGTCAAAAAAAAGCACGCCCACGCCATATCCCGATATTTTATGCAAGAGCGCGCCATTCAGACGCTTTTCGTGCTCTCGGCTCTCGGCGCGCTCTCACTTCTCAGACTCGCATCGAATTCACACGGACGTCAAATCGACACCGGCGCTGCCACTGAATCGTCAAAAGAACCTTTCATTTTGCCCGAACTGATCTGGTGAAGCAAAAGGAGTTAAAGCACGACGAATGTTTTTAAAGGGTGATCCGAAAATGCCTGCCAGGAGAGTGGCGAGGAGACTGCGAGCTTTGCGTTGTGCACACGCCGGCAAAAAAATTTACGCGCCTCGGCATAATCATCTTGTTTTATAGTTTTTCACCGGTTCGCGTCTTCGACGCCATCGCCGGCGACGGCCTCTCTTTTTTATGTGAGCGCCGCACTTATGTCAAAGATTAATGGACTCTCCTTCGCGTTATGGACGCTGAAGGAACGTGAAAAAGGCATAAAATTCGATTTGCCCGCTTCAGCATCGCTTCCCTGCCATTGCCGCCACTCAATTCGACTTCATTTACACACTAATACTGCACACGGCATGAGTTTCATACACTTCTTATTTCATTTAATCAACCGCCTGGAAAATTTACACTCAATCAATATTTTAGGTTAATTATAATCATATAAGTAGTTGAAGTGTCGCCATCTTGAATTTAGTAATATACCTTTCTACTTCATTTCATATCTACACCTTTAATCTAATTGCTTGATATATTGCAGCAGCAAATCATTTCGAATAATCATTAATTTATTCAGAAAGTAATTACACGAGGCATTAAAATGATTTGTTCCGCATGGCCGCATTCTCTTAGTGAAAGGCTTTGTTCAATTCCCGGAGTCAGAACCTAATATTTCGAAACACAAGCTGAATATATGATGTGTGAGCAATGTGCCTAAGCAGCGTTATGCATAGGAGGATCCTTTTCAATATAATTGCGAATGAATAATATATAAGATGAAAATGCGATTAGAAGACCCGCCGGTATGATGAACACGTTGGGTTGCGTTCATGTTATGCTCACCCTTTCTCTTTGTTCAGGAGGAGCTGCGACTAATCAATTAGTGCATGTATAAGTAAAAGCAGAAAGTAGTCTGTTGAAAGTATTATAATTTGCTTTTTTCACTACTCTAGCTAATAAAATAGTCGCATTTAGTTTTATAATAGGAAATTCTGGAGATTCTGCGTTGTTTGTTCAATATTGGTCAGTAGTAATACTCGTTGTCAACAGATTTCGCTAGTGGTACTTGAATTCAACTGCTTCTGCGCTTTCTTCTTCTTAATTGGCAAAGTAACTATTTATCGTTATGGAACTTGTACGTTTAGTGTTTGTTTGTTATTTGCTTCGAATTTTGACCACGGTGTTCGCGTACAATGCGCACACCTAAATGATATTAGCGTTAATGTTGCGCCGAGTGAAAATGCATCTGGTACATTGGTTCCAGAATTTCGGGGACCAAACTCCCCCGTTTGCTGCGAAGCGTGTACAGCCTCGGATTATCGGCTTTTCGGATTAATATTTGCTCGATTAAAGTAAACGTGGAGGGAACAATTCAGATTGGCTCGAATGAACACTCTATTGTCAGGACTTTAACCTCAACAATTATTTTTCAATCGACGAATTTATTTTTTTGGTTAAAAAATATTTGTTTATTGCGTATTACACAACGTTGATGTTTTAATTTAGTTTCAACATGTTGTTTAACTTTGTGCATACATGTGTCTGGGGCCTGGCAGCGAAAGGTCCTCGACATTTAGTTTTGCGGTGCGATGCGTGCGCGTGACGCCTCGTTTCGTTTGAAAATTAATTTAAACTTCATCACGAAAAGCAAACGTCTAGCAACCTTACACCTTCCGAGCCTCTTCAGCCGTAACACTCACCCTCGTATATCTTCCAGCGCATTTCGGCAACTATTGTACGTTTGTTGCAAACTTTTGTCTTCAACTCCAATGCGGCTTGCACTGGGTGGTAAGAATGATCAATAGAAAAAAATATACACGTATAAATAATAAAGCGAAGAAACGTGAGTGTGATAGAAAAATAAAAGAAACAGGCACGCTGAGTTGAAAAACGCGCAAACTTTTCAAAAAGTTTGAAGCCACCATCAGTGCGAGTGCCCGACGTTGATAAAATTGGAATTTCTGTTTTCAATCAGCGTGGAAATTTTTGTGCGCATAGTAGACGTGTTTGAAAACATTGGAAAACAATTGAGAAACAAGAGAAACAACCAAAAACATTTTGATTAAACATTCTGAAAGTTTTCCATGCGATATTTCTGCTAATATAAATTAACGTTTGATTTTTATTGAATCAAACTGTTTATTCAACATTAATTTTGCAACAAAAAAATTTTGTAAGTTTATGTCAATATATATTTAGGTTAAGTTATGATTAAGCAATATATATTTTCAATGCGCAATTGTATGTTTTTGTCCACCGTTTTTTTCATTGTTTGAACATTTTTAGGCTGCGTAAACAAAAATGAATGACGCTGGGGAAATTTTGGACACGTAAAGCATTTACGTGCGAAAGTTCAGCGATGAAACAAGTTCCCTGGGGCCACAGTTGTACAGATAACTTGACGAGTGGACTCGCGATTATTCACGCGACCTAAAATGGAATTTTTTGTTAAATTTTGTCAAATCTTAGTTTCTCAACTCTTTTTTTCTGTGTCATCTTATAATATATTAAAATTTATATTTTATTGCTGACCAAATTGAGAATTTTACAAAAAATTGTAAAAAATGAAATACAATTTAATTTTAAGGATTTGTAGATTTGTTTCAGGAAACACCATACAAAAGTCTGTATAAAAATTTGCCGCTAAAAAAAAGTAAAAAATCCAATGTTGGAATGTTGTTAGACTTGCCGGGTGTCAGGTTGTCGTGGCGCAGCGGTGAGATAAAGTTGTGGCTTGTGGCAAAAATAAATTATTGGCCAAACGCGAACGCATTTATTTATTGCAGAGAGTTGTTGCTGCAACCAATGTGTTTTCCACGTTTGTTACTTTTTCTTCTATCTGCGATCCAACCGCATTCGAAACTCGCTGCCACCGCGACGCGTTTCGTAGATTTCGGGTTTATAAAACACAAAACATCGCCTACTAGGCGAATAGATTTACATCAAGCGCGTGGTGGAAGGCGCCGGGCGGGGTTAGCGACAAAGAAAAAAACGCAAACAGGAAATAGGTGCATGTGGCCCACTTTAAATAGGAAACTATTCAACAACTTTCTTATTGCAGATTTATATTTAAATATAAATTTCCTTGACTATGCTGGTTTGGGTGAACAATTACAATTGTAACTTTAAAAGGAAAAAATCAATTGATTCGCGGGAACAAATGGTTCATACAGTGTTCTGGAAACCTATTGTTATGAATAACAACGAGAGTTTGCAAAACCAAACATTTCTAAATGAGCAAAAACGTTTAAAATGCTCAGCTGCTGCGGTAAGCATTCGGAATCTTTTGTTACCATTTTGAGCGGCATCATTATTGCAGCAAGTAGTTAAAAACACAATAAAAAACAAAAGTTTATTATTCTGAATATAATAGCTCCTGCTTTTATAGTTCTGTAATGCGTTATAAGCTGTAATTAGCAAACGTTGTACGCAATTTGTGTGTGCTATTTGTATATTTAATTGAAATTTAAAAAAAACCTCTTTGATTAAAGCCATGCTTAAATAATTTGGTTAAGAAAGGAATAAAACTGCAAATTACACTAAAATGGTACATTTTTATAGGTCTGTTGTTACAGATTGTTTTAAATTGCATGATTTTTCTTTGTTTTTGCTGAAAATCTGATAAATTCTGAAAATAATGACAAACTATATGGTAAAACTAACTGAGAGTGTGTTTTTGCTTTAGTTTTCACTTGCCCCTAAAAGCTTTTTTGTCCCGTTTCTTTTTTATCGAAGAAAGCAAATTTAATTTGATGATTTTTTGTATTTCCTACTTCGTCACTCTATCATCCAATCGCTTAGACCGTCCACGCCTAAATCCCATTAATACCTCATGACCACATATTTTTACACCTTTTTGTTTCCCTGATGAAATGTTAACTTTATACATTTTAATCATGTTGATAGTATTTACTTTATAATCAAATTAGCGGTGTTTTTATGTTTTCAATTTTTTCTAATTTTTTCTACACAAAAATAACGTTTAATAAAAAAAATCAGTAAAATAACACGAGAATTCAATAAATCAATAATTACCTGAACCTTCCGTATCGAAAATATTTATTGTAATGAGTCGATAATATATCTTACTGCTGATGGCTCTTATAGAAAACGTGGTCAGGGTCTGACAAATTTGCGGCGAGTATCACTAACTATACTTTGAGTACACACGCACACATCCACCTACACAAGAATGAAATAAACCAAAGGGCATATTTTATTCCTCTTGGGATTGCCCCGCCGTCTTGGAGCTGGCTTCGCACGCATACAAAATTCACTTCTACCGCT